AAGAGTTGTGCCGTGGTTCAAAGAGCCTGCACTGTTCTCTAATTGAGTAGTCCAAAATATGCCAAGTTCGCACCGAAACATCACCATGTGGCAGGCTACTAGAGTCTAAGCGAATCGGTATGGAACAACATTTAGAGCACTCGCATCACTCTTCTCCATTTTGGCGACTCTGTTCTCCAGCGATCTGATAATTATATCAGCCTCGTCTGCAATAGCTGCTGCGACTTCAACAGTCGGAAACTCAGTAGCGCTCACTCTTGACCGGCCCGCTTCGCCATTTCTTCAGCTGAATACCGAGGTTCTCAGCCCCAGACCGAACTCATGAAGGTCCGCCATGGCAGCATCCTCACTCTCACAAGGAGTTACATCTTCAGGGTCGCTTGCACCACCTACTATCGGTCGCCAAAACATTTGAAATAGCACTGGCACTATTGCTTTCACGCACTCCTTTTGACCTAGCTGCACGCTATGACGTTGCGGAGGGTGTGGCGCGGCCGCATGACGTCATGGCGCAGCCCCCGAAACCCAGTTTTTCAAACGAAAATATCTCGAGAACGCTTTGTCGGAGACACGTGGGACCAACACCATTCGACTCAGCGCCCGAAACTCTACCGACCCTGAAATTTTAAATTTTCACCGGACTTCCCCTTCGGTGCAAGATCGTTGCCAGCATGCCCAGGGTTGTAAAGGAATTCATATAATGTTGTCCTGGCAACAGCGCAGCGATCGACTACCAGGACAGTGCCTGCTTGGGCTAATCGATGTGTGCGAATGCCGCAACATGCGATCCTTAACAATATTGTCTTTGTACGTACCTGGAGCACACGGCAACTTCTGAAAATAGAGTATACACAGACAAGCATGCACACACACACACACACACACACACACACACACACACACACACACACACACACACACACACACACACACACACACGCGCACACGCACACATACGTGCGCATGCACACACACACACACACACACACACACAAACACACATACACACACATACACATACACACCAAGGTTTGTACTTTAGAGTTTAGACAGTGACAGCAAGCACCTGTTTGTGCTTTCTTTCCATTACGATAGAAAGGGGGTAAGGGGGTTCAGCAACAAGAGATATAGAATCATGGATACACAGCTCAGTCGAAAGCGTCCATATCCAATGCTGTGGAAAGCCACTGCCTGCAGTTACCTATGCAAACTATTCGGCTATCACAGTAGAGATCGATTCATGCTTGCTTTGACGAGCATATCACCGTGAACGTTTAGTACTCCACACATGCAAGCGATACTTTAGCACTCGTCCAGTCACATGTTAACATGCCCTACACTTACTGATGCAGCAACTTTCTTCCTGGCACGCTGGTTACTCTGACCTTCCAACTGTGAACAAAAGTATTTTTTTTAACAGAGCAAAAATGTAGGCAGAACGAGTTACTGAAGCAGTGCACAAAACGAAAGTCCGGCCAACAAGTGCCGTCCAGTATTGTCAACCTTCCGTATTTTCACGGACAATTACTCCTTCGTCCGCAGTACGGAATTTGAGCAAATGATACGGAAAACTGGAGAGATCAATCAGCCGTGTAGGATTACGGAAAGCACACGCTGAACGATGGATATAATGGAACCAAAGGGAGTGCATCCCGTGATGCTACGACCACATTTACTACTGTGGTAGAACGAAAGATAGTGTTGTGAATACACACTTGTTTTGCAGCAATAAACCCGGCCAGGTACATGTACAGCCAGACTTCGCTTATCCAGTCCTCTTTTATCCGGATCCCTCGCCATCGGGAAGAAAATTGTTGGTTACCGATTTACAGATTATGCCATGCATGCGTACAATATGTACGTTCAATTATCCGGTTTCCTCGTCTATCCGGATAATTTTGTGGAAAACGGATGTGTGCGGTTAAGGGAGGTCTGACTCTACGTACATGTGCATGCCACAAAAAGCATAATACAAGTACTCATGTAATGTACACGCTAGGACATTGGTAGTACTGGTATGGTTCACACAATACAAGTGCTCATGTAATGTACATGCTAGGACATTGGTAGTACTGGTATGGTTCACATATTACTCAATACTCAACAGAGGACATTGATAGTAATAACTTTCAGAACGAAAACAAGAAGAACGACAACCAAAAGACACAAGTACTTCAAACGAAGTACTTAAAAAAAAAAACATCGCAAAAAAGCGAAAATCATAAGTCTGAGTACGCAGCACTGCAAAGAAACGGGAAATTAGAAGTCCGAGTACGGAAAACAGAGGTGGTCCAAGCACAGGTGGAAAAAACCTTCTGCTTCCAAGTAGGATTCAAACCTGGTACCCTCTGTTTCTCAATTATCTTACACTTTTGTAGACCATCCCACTATGCCTGCCTACGTGCAGAGCAAAATGATGCCAAAATCTGCATTTTGAGCTGAACTTCACGTAGTACAAGTGCAGCTTACTTGAAAATCAAAGATAAAAACGACCAGAATAATTAAAACCATCATGGGTGCAATCATTCATTCCACACACAGGAAAAAAAGGTGGCATCCATCAATTTCTTACCTTGAACTCTCTGTCATTGAACCAGCAATGCGAGTTGTCGGGAACTCGGATATCTTTGCCGCATTTAATGCAAGGATTGCCGTCCGGATAAGCACCTTCCATGACGCGACTGCTGGCCGCAATGTCAGTAGACTGCTCAGCAAAACGCACGCGCCACGGTGCATATCCAAGGTCGCGGCATCTTGTTGTGTGGTCGGACCATTCACTGGGTTTGCATTCACAGACGAGATTGTCAGCGTCGAGCGACACAGAGGATGTCGTGACGAATGAAAGCTCTGTCAGCCGTGAAACTATGTCCTTGCAGACTTGCTGGCAGATGGATGATATCGAGCGAAGCCTCTTGTCTGCCGTGCTGATATGACCGGGCTGGAATGTGTGGAGAGGATGCTGGAAGTTCAGGCTCACCAGCAATGCACCTGATGAGTCGTAGTGAGCCATGAAGATTTCCACGTGGCCATCCTTGAACTCACCCAAGCCAAGGTACCTATTCGGCAGCCTTAGCCTGGCGGTGTTGTACGTGAGCTCACAGTGGCTGGTGTTGATGCTTCTGATGTCCCATTTCTTGAAGAGACGCACTAGTAGCTTGAAGTAGGAGCTATGTGGCATCGGCGTGGCTGGCGCAGGGAATTCGTAATCCTCTTGTAGTGCTTTAAACGGTTCCACAGCAATAAGCAACGGGGTGTCAGCGGTAGAGAAATTGATACTGTCCATCTCCACATCTACCTTGCTGAAACTGCGCAATGCACCTTCAATTTTCCGTGGGCTCTGCTGGTGTAGTGCTGATGGCACGAGATACGAGTTGTCTTCCAGTTGGTAGAGCAGATCCCAGTCAACCATCACATCAACCACCTTAGTGCGGACACTGGGTGGGATGGAGGCCATAGTGATGTCCGCTAGACGCATGCCTGCTGTGCCTTTCTCCCACAGAGTGTTGTGAAGACGTGCTGCATTCTCTTCTTCCCGGGAACTTGCAAAGGTGTGGTCAGCTTCATGCACCAGGTACTTCTTACCGAACATGAAACGGTTGATCTGCTTGATAAGCCACTGCACGTTGTAGACGATGAGGTCATCTGGCTGAGGCAGGCACTTGGTCGGTTTGTAGATGATGACACGCATGCGATGGTAGAACTGTAGAAGCTTCTCAAACTCGAATTCCTCCTGGATTCCGCATGCCTCAGCTACCATCGTCTTCATCCATTCTCGGCTAGTGCATCCTTTCTCCTTGTAAGCTTGGTTGAGATGCTGTACAATCCACTCAAAGCGAACCCATGACTTGGGCATCTCCTTCCCTTTTAGGACAATAGACATGGCTTCCTGGATTTTAGCGTGAATTTGATGGACTTCCGGCGATGCGTTCGATTCTCGGTTGTTGACCAGGAATAAGGAGTTGGCATCGCACGTTGATATACCATCGGAGTTAGACTGCATGGCTGCAAATACTGGTGACCTGCAGCAAAGCTTGCACAAATTGTTCCAGATCTTGTCTTTGAGTTGCTGCCGGCCCAGATCTGGGTTCTGTTCTTCCAGTTTGTCAGCAAAGTTTCCAACCATGATGATTGGCGAATAGGAGACATTGTCTTGCTGGATTGACACACTGTCAGCAGTGCTTGCGAAGTGAACGGCAGTCAACCAGTGGCGGATGTGGTCGATGTTCTCCAGTTCTTTTGCCACTTCGATTTCCTCAGGGACGGCTGTATCCTCAGGCGTATAGGTTTGTGGTTTGATCAAGCAGAGGGGTTCGGCAGAATTGAAGCAAAGCATATAGATGACAAAGCTCTCACTCAACATGAAGTGCTGCAGACTGGAGAAGATTGACTGACCACCACAGTCCCACATGGACATGATCACCTCTTCATCTCGCACATTCCGCATCAGCTCTCTGTTGGCAATGATTTCGTTAATCACACCTTGAGTGAGTTCACCCACGCTGATTAGCTCAGGATCATCTGGCTTGTTGACTGTTGACTTTGCTGGTGCAACACTCTTTTGGGCGGTATCATATGATCCATCATCCAGAAATTTGTCTCCTGGCATCTCTTGTCCATGACTCCTAGAGATGGCACTCTCGGATTCTTCACCTTTCTTTTCCTTTCCCTGCCCGAATTCTGGTTTAGAAGTGGCAAGCTGTGTATGTTCTGGTTGATGCTGCTTTCCAGATTTATGAGGTGGACGACCCTCATGAGAAACATTGGCTTTGGCTTCTAGCTCAGACTTCCGCTCTTCTCTTTTTCTTCTATTCTCATCCTGCCATCGTTTACGATCAGTTGCGCGTGTCTCCGCATCGCGTATGAACCGAGATCCTTCCAGATGAGCAGTCGAGAATTCCCATTCTTGAAGTTTGCCATCACGCAGCCGCAGGCTATGTTGATGCACTTCAAGGAATGGAGTGCTGGATTTGTCTGGACGAAATTCTTCACCCCTTAGCGAGTCAGCCAGGCTTGTCTTGCCACTACCAAATTGGCCGATGAGGCCAATGCGGATCCGGCGTACGCGTGTCATTGTGCTGCTAAGAGTAGCCTCGTCGATGACTTCACGCATGCCACGAGTATTTGGAGCATAAGCTGAACCTACAGGCAGACAGACAGACAGGCAGGCATGCAGGCAGGCAGGCAGGCAGGCAGGCAGGCAAGCAGGCAGGCAGGCGGGCAGGCAGGCAGGCAGGCAGGCAGGCAGGCAGGCAGGCAGGCAGGCAGGCAGACAGACAGACAGACATACAGACAGACATACAGTCAGAGAGATATACATACAGACAGACAGACACGCACATGCGCACGCACACACACACACACACACACACACACACACACACACACACATATTTGCTCACTGCCAAAACTGGTGATGTGGGTCCCCCCGGGAGAGGGGAGAGATTCAAAAGGAATCTTGGAAGATAACTCAATTGGCTATTACGAGCTCGTAACCTCCCGACTGCCGACACCCCCTGAAATCCCGAAAGTCTGGATGGACTTGGAAATGATCCCACTTATGGTCTAACCACACTCCATTAAGTGGGTGAGGACAAGGCGTAGAAAAAGGATTGACTGCATCAGGGTATCCGTCCAGGGATCCAAGTGTAGTTGCCCCTGCCCCCAGTGAAGGTAATACTTAATACTACAAGTAGTATGGGTGGCCAAATCAGAGTGGATCTCATATAAGTTTCACTAGAACCAGCAGGCGCACAGCAGGTCCCCTTTTAGGGGAGGGGGGGGGGGGGGGGGTGCATGGCCGCATATGTGCAGGATGGCTGGTCCATGTCATTCATAGTCATTATGTGCAAGGTGAACTTTGGTCGAAATTTTTAGGGGGGTGCACGTACGGTGCCCGATGCGTGCTACGCGCCTGACCATTGATCACACCAGAGTTAATCAGGCCAGAAGTAGTCCACGGTGAACAGGTATGTATACCTCAAACCAGTGAATATGGTGTACTAGCTGTGCTAGTACTTGTTAGCAACAATCCGAACTAGCGCACACACTACACTGCATTGCTTTGTACTGCATTCAAGACTGACGTCATACGCTTTGTTTTGCTGCGTAATCACAAATGGCACCAGCCCGTTTTGCTGAAAAGAAAAACAAATCTTGCTTGCCCTGTTGTGCTCTTCCAGACAACGAATCGTGCTTCAGCAGTGCTTCTTTTCCTTTCGTAGCTTTGCTGCCAGCCCAAGTGTCACCTCGACACTGTTTTTCTTCAGTATGTCTGACCTAACTGTCGACACTTTCAAGGCAATGCCTTGCCAAGCCCTCCGCGGCGAACTTTCTCAGCGCGGCTTGAATCCGAAAGAAAACTTAGTAAAAGTATTTTACAGGATCGTTTGCTGGCACAGCTAGCCCTTGGTAGTGAGGTCTGCTCCGGCCAGGAGAACCGGCAACATGACAGTGCGGACACGGCTCGCGAGCCCAGAAGCCCGACTGGCACCAATGCCTCCTCCGCCAGCTCAGGCGACGCGGGCTCAACCGATCTCTGCGCTCTCGTACGAGACGGGGTGTAGTCGGCTTTGTCGGCCGCCATTATAATTATCGGAGAGCATTGTGCCGCTCCTCACCCAAGGCCAAGGCAATGCGGCTGCTGCCGCCACTACGTCAGGCCAAGCTCCTGTAACCCACCCGATCAGCCACCTGCACCAGCTGTGCCCAAAGCTGTGCAAAAATGTATCTTGCGAGGGGAGTTCGTAGATTTTTCAAGTTTGTTGCCTGAAATTCTTGCACACTTCCGGCCCAACATTCCGGCTGGTACACAGCCCGAATAACGATAGCCAGCTAAATATCGTTGAGTCGGATGACGCGAAGCAGGTGCGTCGCAAGGTTCACGATATACATGTAGCTACCCGGCTCGAGGCATGGACCAAATACATGTCTGTTATCACGGCTGCTGCCCTACACCGCACTGCTGAAATGCTGAACTGATTGCGTACCAGCAGTTGATCCTGACTGCTAACCGCCAGTTCTTCCCAAGCGCGTGGCTGGAGTAGGACCGCCAGCTGGAGATGCTCGCGGCCCAGTAACCAGGCACGAAGAGGTTGGACACCATCGACGTGAAACATAATATGGCAGATAGCTTTCACAGGCCATGCACACCCAAAATGCGCTCAATGTAAGACGGTCCATCCAGGGGCAGTTTGTGTCCTTTTCGTCTCCAATCTCAATTCCCCAAGCCTGCAGCATTTACCTCCAGTGGTCGCACCCTTACCAGCGACGGCCAAGAAATCTGCCGCAACTTCAATGGAGGTAGTTGTTCTTCATCGTCGTGCCGCTTCTCCCACACCTGCAGCCAGTGTGGCAAGGACCACCCATGCATCAGGTGCAACCAGCAACAGCGCGGAGCCAATCGCCCACCCCACCGCTCCTAGCAGAATGGCTACTGAATCGCTTGACTCGGTACGTAGCTTCTTTCCTATACACTCTGCAGACACCACACTGCTAGCTGACCACTTTGCCCGCCTGTTACGTAACCACTCAGATCAATCATGCGTTGCGTATGTTCTCCATGGCCTGCGCCATGGCTTTACTCTTGGATCTGCCGGCCAACACGACATTTTAGTTTTCTCTAATAATTTGCCCTCGGCTTTCATTCACTCGGCATTTATATCCGAGCAATTAGCTGCTTCCTGCGCCCGCAGCGAGACCACAGGCCCATTCCCGTCACCTCCATTTCAGTTCCTGTGCCGCTCTGGTATTGGTGCCGTCCCCAAAAGAGAACGGCAAGCTGCGAATGATCCACCATCTGTGTAGTCCGGAAGGCACCGGCGCGAACGGCAGCATTCCTGCGGAGCCGCTCTCTCTCTCTGCACTACGGGAGCATTGACAACGCGATCAATATCATCATGTCATGCTCACAGCCTGTGTATTTGTCCAAGCTCGATGTACGCAGTGCATTTCGGCAGATCCCAGTCCGCCGTCAGGACTTCGCTGGGAAGGCTCCTACTACTACGAGCGCTTTCTGCCTTTCGGCCTCCGCTCCAGCCCAGCCGTCTTTGACTCAGTAGCCACAGCAGTCAACTGGATCATACAGCACGAGTTTGCCATAGATCACCGGCTTCATTACCTCGATGGCTTTCTCCATATCTCCACTGGTTTGGCTGCAGCCAACCAACAACTCACCATCCCCCTCCGGGCATTCACGTATCTCGGCACTCCTCTTTGCTCCATCCCAGCTCGAAGGGCCATCACCATCATTGACCTTCCTTGGTATTGTCCTAGACTGCGAGCGCCACGAAGCTCGGCTTCCAGAGAACAAGCTGTCCGAGATCCGTGCGCCACTCATGGCTACTATCAGCGAGCGCAGCATCAGCCAGCGTCAACTCGAGTCCTTCCTGGGGAAGCTCGCTTTGCTGCCCGAGTCATCGTTCCTGGACGCACATTCATGCGTGAACTATGATCAGCGTGCCCTGAACTGTATCTGTGTATGCGAGTGTGGTGCGTAAAGCCCATCTTGAGTACGCCTTCACTATAATATATTCTGTTGTCTCGTCTTGTCTCAGTGTCAGTCATCAGTCGTTCGTTGTCAGTGGTAGTTCTTCATTATGAGTTCTCCAGTCGCCGCTTGAAGTAAGCCTAAGAAAAAGCTCTCTCTCAATCTGTAATGGTCTTTTGTTGTGTGGCATGACGAGGAGCGTAGAGGCAGTTCGTTCCCGGTTTCAAACCCGAGACGACATTTGGCGCCCAACGTGGGGCTCGAACCCACGACCCTGAGATTGAGAGTCTCATGCTCTACCGACTGAGTCTTTGGTCTGTCGTCTTGTCAAGATGCAGTCGTTTTCCGTGTTCTTGTCTATTCGTCAATAAAAAGAGTGTAAAAAGGCAGTCCAGTGGTGGCGGTTGAGCTGATGCAGTGATGGAGAAGTAATGTTAGACATACAATTACAACACTATCACTATGCCAATCCTACGACACCTGACGGATGCACGCCGGAAAAGTAGTATCCTGAATGGCCATGACAAGCTGCTCTACCAAGCCGCCATACTGCTTCTTTGGATTTCTTCTATGTGCCGAATGCACTAATGGCATCACACGGGGCTGTACTAGCTCCCCTGGTGACGGACGCCTGCAACTCTTCCTGCTTTCATCCAAGACGGACGCATTCGGTAAAGGCGTTACTAGTGACATTGGCCCGTCTGTACCGCCGTACTGCCCGGGCCGTGCCATGGTTACCTACCCATTTGTCACTCGTCGCGAGGGACCAGAGCAACTCTTGTTCGTACTCTAGAACGGCCATCAGCTGACCAGGCAGTCATTCACAGTAACAGTATGGTCTCTTATAGGTGCGGCCGGTGTACCATCCCAGTCGAACTACTTCGGGCATTCAGTCCACATTGGTGCAGCCACCACCGCTGCTATGGCTGCTGCCCCCGACTCCTTCTTCCGAGTGGCAGGTCGGTGGAAAGAGCGACGCGTGTCCATGCTACATCCGGCCTACAACAAGCGCCAAGCGCCAGCTATCGTCCTGGCTTGCTGCCGTGTCATGGATGCCATGATCCCCGACTCGGGTGAGTAATGAGCTACTGAACTCTAGCTGCGCAATGCTTGCCTGTGCTGACATTCCCTTGCTGTGCGTCAATAGTGCTTAGCTAATGGAGTGCTGGTTTCATGGGTCCACTCTCACAACTGGTGTTATCTAGCTATTTGCTGCGGCTCTGCCTTGCGCTATATTACATCCATTTAGCATTGCAGCTCTACGTTGAGCTAACAGCAGCTCTACTTTGAGCTAACAGCAGCTCTACTTTGAGCTAACCGCAGCTCTACTTTGAGCTAACAGCAGCTCTACTTTGAGCTAACAGCAGCTCTACCTTGAGCTAACAGCAGCTCTACTTTGAGCTAACAGCAGCTCTACTTTGAGCTAATCGCAGCTCTACTTTGAGCTAACAGCAGCTCTACTTTGAGCTAACCGCAGCTCTACTTTGAGCTAACCGCAGCTCTACTTTGAGCTAACCGCAGCTCTACTTTGAGCTAGCCGCAGCTCTACTTTGAGCTAACCGCAGCTCTACTTTGAGCTAACCGCAGCTCTACTTTGAGCTAACACCAGCTCTGCTCTGAGCTAACAGCAGCTCTACTTTGAGCTTCAAATCAGTTGTTTCGAAACCAGCACTCCTCAATCCAAAGATGCCTCTCTGTTGACTCGTTTGTGTGAGGGATGGGGCTAATGGTGTACTAGCTGTGCTAGTACTTGTTAGCAACAATCCGAACTAGCGCACACACTGCACTGCATTGCGTTGTACTGCATTCAAGACTGACGTCATGCGCTTTGTTTTGCTGCGTAATCACAAATGGCACCAGCCCGTTTTGCTGAAAAGAAAAACAAATCTTGCTTGCGCTGTTGTGCTCTTCCAGACAACGGATCGTGCTTCAGCAGTGTTTCTTTTCCCACCATCCATCCCTATCCAACTTATTCACACCATCATTATAATTATCGCACCCACTAATCAGGTCCACTCTCACAACTGGTGTTATCTAGCTATTTGCTGCGGCTCTGCCTTGCGCTATATTACATCCATTTAGCATTGCAGCTCTACGTTGAGCTAACAGCAGCTCTACTTTGAGCTAACAGCAGCTCTACTTTGAGCTAACAGCAGCTCTACTTTGAGCTAACAGCAGCTCTACTTTGAGCTAACCGCAGCTCTACTTTGAGCTAACAGCAGCTCTACTTTGAGCTAACAGCAGCTCTACCTTGAGCTAACAGCAGCTCTACTTTCAGTTTATCGCAGCTCTACTTTGAGCTAACCGCAGCTCTACTTTGAGCTAACCGCAGCTCTACTTTGAGCTAACAGCAGCTCTACTTTGAGTTAACTGCAGCTCTACTTTGAGCTAACCGCAGGTCTAATTTGAGCTAACCGCAGCTCTACTTTGAGCTAACATCAGCTCTACTTTGAGCTAACCGCAGTAGAAAGATATTCCAGCCAGGGTGTTCTGGTTTGCTGCGTTAAAATTATATCACTGACGCTCGTAGCCGCCATTGGTGCATAAATAACTGTTGCCACGGAGGCCGGTTGACGTGCGCTGTGAAGTATACACTGTTATATCGAAGCTCAAAGCTCAAAGCTCAAAGCTCCGATATGCAATTGCCCATTTCACAAGCAATGATACATTTTGATGTGAAGCTGGGATTGTATGAGGAGCGGAGAGCGGAGATATAACAGTCCCACCTGGGTACCCTCCCTAATAAGATCTATAATGCACTGAAAAAGAAAAAGGGTGAAGAAGAAGCTAGAGTTCCCGCGTTTGAGCTGATGGATCACGTGTGGGGCAGTTTTCCTTACGAAAATTTTGTTTTTCAAATTTTAGTAAAACTGCGTTTTGAAAATGCTATCTCGAGCAAAGGAAAACCCAATTTCGGGTTGGTATACAACCAACCCCCAACCCCAACTCCACACATGATTCACACACACACACACACACACACACATACACGCGCACGCACGCACGCACACACGCGCACACACACACACACACACACACACACACACACACAAAGACATGCTATACTGCAGTAGAAAATGCTTACTGGTCATGGCAGCAGTGCTGTCAGCAGAGGTCGACACTAGCGCTTGCAGCTCCGCCCGCACCTTCACAAAGTGGTAGCCAAGGTCATCAAGGACCTCCAGGAACAGCTTGAATGTCCTACGACCACCGCCAGAGACCTCTCTGAGAAATTCTTCGTTGTGATCAGTGCGACCACTGCGATCCATCAGGCAGCGTTGAAAACCCTCCATAATCAGCCCGTTCGAGACCGCCGCAAGGCGAGTCTCCCGTGGTGGAAGTCTCCCGACAAACCACTGATGGTGCCTCTTGTAGCGAATATCACACCAAGGATTGTCTGGCAAGCCGAGAAAATAATGACACACAGTAAAGTGAGGATCCAGTTATCACAATGTGCATTATAGAAACGAACATAGGCAAAGCAGAAATTCAGTGAAAGTACCATCAAAACTTCAACAACCGTGGAAATCATCAAAGCAAACAGCAAACGAAATGCACACACCTATTGTATAAGCAAATTCTAGGATAGTCTTCATTCCATCCTATCTAAGTTATCGACCAATCATTTGTTTCACTCACCGTCATCATTCATTCCAGCAGCGCCGTCAACAGCTAAGCGACACAAGTCATCAACATCGCAGTCCGGGTAGAACGGCTGAAAAACACCATTAACACACCAAAGAAGAAAAACAGGAAGGTGTACTTGATTTTCTAAGTGATGAAATTCAACCTCCAGCATATGCACTCTCTGGCCCACCTCATTCGCACCCCAGCAATGAATGGTAAACGGGCTGAAATCTTCTGTTTACCATCCTATTCAGTACTTCAGCAGTACCGTATTCCCCGATTACAAGCCCCCCCCCCCCCCCCCCCTCATGTTCAGGTTTAGGCAATATTGATTTGATATATTATTATAATTGACTTCAGTAGTAAGTCATGCTCGATTGTAAGTCGCACACTCCTCTTTTACAGTTGAATTTTAGTGTAAAAAGGTGAGTCACATTCGGGGAAATAGAGTACTTCAGTCTATTTCCGTAAATAGAGTCGGTGCTCTGCGTGTCAGTCGTGAGGCAGTCAAGTGTCAAGTCAGATCGGCGGGAAATCTTCGAGCTCCAGTGTGGAGAGCAGCAAACTTGCTTATATTCTCTATACATTGGAAGAATGAGCAGGGTGAGCGCACATCTTTCTACTGCGATAACAATGTTTACCTTGATCCATCTATCCCACGTTGGCCGGTCGGTATGCGCTTGCCCTAGGCCACAGCGAATTGGTCGGACGCCATTGCCAATCTCTGCAAAGTGCTGGCATCCGGTGCTCCTGCAGTGCTGCTGGTCATGAAGCTGGCATGGCCTGTCATCGCGGCACAGACACGCAATGCTGGGATGGAGGCGCAGCAGGCGCTGGCCATACAGCTGCTGCAGCTCTGTGGTGGCACTGAGAATGAAGCGAACAACAGACTCGCAGTGATCTATTGTCTTCTCGCTCTTGTCGCTGTCCACTGTGATGCAAATGGCTGTGGAAGAATAGGAGAGCTGAAGCTGAAACTCATCCTGGCACCTCATAGAGACGTTGAGGCCCATACGCAAATCCTTCGCCCAGTGCGGTTGGTACTTTTGCAAGCATCGCACCGTGATTCGGCCAAAATGCGCGTGAGTGATGCTCCTGTCTGGATCTTCGCCAACCAAGTAGAGCGGCGCTGATTTGGACTCTAGCGCTTGTGACAGCTTACACTGGGCAAGGGCTGGCACATAATAGACTTTGTACCCTGTACAAAATGGATCATCTTCGCCAGCATCACAGACTACGCCATGAGACGCTAGCAGTGAAAAGAGACTCCGGCGCTGCTCCTGAGATCGCACCAGACCTGCCGTGGCTTTCTCCTGCTGCCATCGGTGAATGGCTAACGACTCACACAGGATGCCATCCTTCAGCAGCTTGTATTGCTGCTTGAACTCGTGAGCCTGCTTATACAACACAGGAGCTGGCAAAAGGACAGCCTTGGATGCTGACATCAGCCATGGGGTGCTAGCTAGAACCTTTTTTCTATGGCCAAAAGCGGCGGCTGGTACTCCTTCTGCCATGGCTTGTGGCTGAGATTGTGACGTGGGTGCTGCTGCCGCTACTGGTGATTGTTGTGGTGCTGCTCGTGGTGTGGATTCTGATGATGCTTGTGCTTCTCCAACAGGTGGCATACTAGCTGTAGCCGATGGAAAGTGGCTACCCTCATCATCAAAGACAATGAGATAGCCAAGCGACTGGTTCAAGCTCAAGAGACGAGGCACATCCACGTCAGCATTACCAAATGCATCATGAGCGATGCTGCATACCCTGTCATAGCTCATGATGAATGACGACGTCTCCTGTGCAATCGCCTCCAGTAGCTCTGGGAATGGCAGCCACGAGATTGGCAACTTCTCTCTGCGACGGGATTGAATGACGCAGGCCAACTGTTGACGCAACTCTGCAACTCCTTGGTCAACTTTTGACCCAGACAGAGTGTTGTTAACAAAGATGATTGGATGAAGGCTGTCAGTATACTTCTTGCCGAGCGTCAGTTGTTGCAGTTGTTTCCTTCGTTTGCGAACATCTTCTTGCGACATACGATCCAGGTGTGTGCCAACGAGGAAAATCGGCGCTGTGGAGTTGTCGGTAAGTGCTCCGCGGGCTGTACATAGCCACGAGTCGATGACATCAAAGTACGTACAGGTGGGTTGGTTGATGTTGAGCTGATTGTCCTCGCCATCTTCATCAGTCAGGGTATCTGCATACGGTGTGTCCGGTTTGATGCTGGCATCGAAGACGACGCAGTACGTGGTGCGTTCGGGTGAAAACATAAGGTCGTGTAACGCGTGGAATGGCATCTGCCCTGCCAAATCCCACACGTCACCAAACAGTGTGTTCGCACCCAAACCAGAAGCCTCATCCAAACGCTTGAAAAACGTGCCCCAAACTGCACCAGCTGCTCCAGCTGCCAGACGCTGGAAGGCGTTTGTACCGCTGGCATCACTTTGCCGAGAGTCAGCTCCAGCACCGATAATTTGGTCGACGATTGAGGCAGACAGCAGGGCTAGGTGATGTGACGCATCTGTTGGCTCCAATTGGTACACTCCTCTTTTGTTCTTATTCAGGGTGAAGGCATGCTTTTCCATGTCCATGCCAAGTGTACTGGCGGTCATCGTGAACTTCTTGTCTTGCAGCGACCTCAACACTCCAGTTTTTCCACCGCGACCAGGGCCAATGAGTAGTATTCGCTCGTAGACAATGTCGGCGAAGTAGCTTAAGAACACTTCCTTCCTCCTCTGCTTATCCATAGGACTTCCTTCTACATCGCATCACAAAAACAAAAAGCACATCCACTTTCTCAGGTACTTGAGAGAGACTAGCGAGAAACTACCGTGATGTACTACAATTGGAGAAGTATTTTTGAAACTGTAGTACAGGTGGAATCCTGATAATTCGAACCTCAAAATGCCAGGAAAAACTTCTAATTATCCGGACATTCTAATTATCCAAACATGAACCCACAACACAATAATGTATGTCAAAATGCTCTCATGGTCACGCAGAGTTGCGCTATGGACCTTTTAGACACAGATTTCGCGGATACTGAACCGACCGGCACAGCCTGCTCATGCAAACTGAACTGACCAGTACAGTGTACAGTGAACTTCGAATTACACTTTGCTAACTTCGAATTATCAGCACAAATCCCACACATTTTCTAGGTAAGTGGAATCTGTGGGACTTCGAATTAAAGGGGAAGTTAAAAGGCAAAAATTAAAATTTCACCAGTTGTAGTCTTCGGGGTGCTGAGTCGAATGGTCGTGGTCCGAGGAAGCTGAGACGCTCCCTTCCTACTTGAATCCCAATCGAACTCGCGCACGTCCACCGAAACTGGGTGACTGCGCCCTACTAGATGGGGATTTGTATGCAAAATGTCACTAAAAGCGCCATTTCGCTCTTATAAAAGCATGGATGACCGCGATTGGCCCATATGTTGTACTCTTTTGGACACTGAGTCGATTGGTTTTGGTCCGAAAAGGCTGCGATGCAGCGTTCCTCCTTTATTCCCAATCGAACATGGTTGAAGAAGCGGTCACGTGCTCCTGCGTACACCAGTCACCTGGTCACCGTGCCTGCAGGGTACAACTTACTAGCCTGTTTGACCTTTTTTGGGTGCAGTCCTGTCACTCGAGTTGAACTCGAGTTGAACCTTGGTGTGAAAGTTGTCGCCTGCTGGCGTGGTGACCAGGTGATTTGGGCACCCAGGAGCACGTGACCGCTTCTTCAACCATGTTCGATTGGGAATAAAGGAGGAACGCTGCATCGCAGCCTTTTCGGACCAAAACCAGTCGACTCAGGGTCCAAAAGACTACAACATATGGGCCAATCGCGGTCATCCGTGCTTTTATAAGAACGAAATGGCGCTTTTAGTGACATTTTGCATACAAATCCCCATCTACAGTCGTCGCCAAAAAAATCCGGCCAAATGCAATGCTAGCTACCGGTACTAGGCGGTAGCTGTACTGGGCCGCATACTTCATAGTGGTACTGCCTGGTAGACCGGGTCTGCATGTACTGCAGTTATGTCTTCACTGTTCACATGCTGACAGGCTAGGCCTGCATACACCATGATTGTAGAGGCGACGGTTCGATACGTGCAGTGGATACCGGAACGGCTTGACAGGTCAGCCAAATTTGTATAGGCCCAAACCATGCAAACCTATCATCAGCGTTGATTGTTCACTCGAAATATGTTTGTGGAAGGAAACTGGCATGTTGAAGTTTGATCTGAGGCCAGAGTCAATCGAACTGAGCCACTCCTTTGTGTTGACCCATTGCCTCCAAGTTGCCCAGTTTTTCGCTTCAAATCAGAGGTGGCTCCAAATCGGAAAGGGTTTAGAGTGCACATCAAATTCACTCTTAGTCTGAAATTAGGTAATTGCTATCGCTCCACGACGGCCAGTACAGAATAATAATAAGCCTTGTGTGTGCTTCTCCATTAGTTTCGATTGGTATGCGGTGCTTTATTGGCGAGAGGCGAGCCGCTGTTTACCCGCGACAAGAAGTTGATTTTTCGAAAGTCGTAAAAATCAACACGTCAAAAACTCACCTGCTTGGTGTGGCGCTTCTGGTCATCGCAGAGCCATGAAATTTTGGCTCGGAGTATTAGTTATAGCACATCGTAGTCTCACTGTGACATATGTTTTCTAATCAAAATACTAAGAGAGAAAGTGAATATGGAGTCCGTTCCGGTTTGCAACCTACCGGTATGTCCTATTTGAAACCGTCGCCTTCTAATTCTACACTCACTCAGCGATCAGACAGACTCAGGCTCGGCGCAGTGCTCAACCCGACTGCAGCAGGCAGAGTGTGGCGCAGACTGTTCAGTGCTGTCCAGTGGCAGTGGCAGTGGCCTAGTTGAGGCTAGACTAGAGTCTAGTGCATGTGCCACTCCCCAGTGCATGAACCCGCGATGAAGTACCGGTACCGCGTAGATCTACCTACCATACCTATGTACGCGTATACTTGGCATTGGCCGGATTTTTTTGGCGACGACTGTAGTAGGGCGCAGTCACCCAGTTTCGGTGGGAGTGCGCGAGTTCGATTGGGATTAAAGTAGGAAGGGAGCGTCTCAGCTTCCTCGGACCACGACCATTCGACTCAGCACCCCGAAGACTACAACTGGTGAAATTTTAATTTTTGCCTTAACTTCCCCTTTAACCGGACATATCCAGTTCGAGGTTCAAATTATCAGAATTTTTTATGTGGGACTCGTGTTGATAGAAATCGGTCCTGGAAAAACTTCTAATTAAGCGGTATGTTTGAATTAAGCCATATTCGAATTATCAGGATTCCACCTGTATTGAAATGACAAATGTAAAAGCGCTCGTCAGCAGTCACGGTGCAACAGCCGAGTTGTGAATCAAACATTTTCTTGTGGCATTCATCATGAATCAGTCACCACAGTAAGGTGCAGCTAAAACAGAATCAGAATATTAACCGTATTTTCCAGGTACGTATTTTAATAGTGAGTTTCAATGTACATTCCAATATACATGCGCCGCTGCACATCGATTGCTCATGCTCTTTTGTTCTACATGCCTTGTTGTTCTTGCTGTAGTATGAACTCTTTTACGCACTTTACTTGTATGCATGCACGTGCCGTTGCGACACGTGTTCACGCCCGCCATGTGGTCTTTACACTCCGAGCATGCGGGTCCCTTAGGTACGCATGCGAGGAACTGATCATGCTTGTTCTGGTTTTCGTTGGTTAGGAGTTTGTTGGCACGAAATGAAGTAGAAGCCTTTTCGGTGTGTGTAGTTCTGTTGTTGTCGGACCTGGATGTTTGCTGTGCGATACACCCAAAACATGGTGGCAGCGGTGTTCTCGCGGTGCTAGCTTTCGGTTTTCTGTCTCCGTTTTCCGCGGATGAGTCCGAAAAAATCCAAGCCTCACGTCACGAAAGTAAATCCACCTCGTCCAGGTACCATGAGTTCTGACAACTCGGAGTCTCAAGCTTCTACCTCCGCCGCAACTGCCTCCGCCAGTCCGGCCGTAGATATCTCCGCGTTCTCGCAGCTGCCTCAGCTCCTGCAGGCTCTGATACAGCAACAGCAACAGCAGCAGCAACACCTCCAGCAGCAGACCACCGTTTCGACTGCTCTACTTCAGCATCTGTCTCAGCCGAGTCAGCCTCCCGCTCCGGCTTCGGTTTCTCCCGGGAATTTTCCCAAATTACAGCCTTTGGAGGACACCGACGATGCGGAGGCTTGGTTCCTTACCGCCGAACGCCTGCTCATTGGTTACGGCGTGCCTCCCGATCGGCGAGCCTTGGCGATCGTACCCCACCTCAAGGGCAAAGCTCGCAGTGCTTACAACAATCTGCCCGCGGGTGACTCGAAGGATTTCGTTCTCATCAGAACTGCAGTACTCGCACGTTTCCGATTGGACGCGGAGGAGTATCGCCTGAAGTTCTGGCGAGACGTACATGGAACTCCACCACCGGCAGAGGGATTTGTTCGAAAAATGGATCACTCACGCAGTTGCGTCCAGGGGCACAATCGAGGTTCCGTTCGTGACTGACCAGATAGTGCGCGAGCAGCTGCTCTCCACCCTGCCTGCGGAAGTGCGCCGGCATGTACAGGAGCAACCACGAGTGAGTGCTACTGACACGGCCAAGCTGGCTGACGCGTTTGCGCGCGCGCGCAGTCAGACCTGAGCCGGACTGCTCCACCGCTAGGAGGTGCTCCAGTAACAGTACACACCGTCCAGCATCGTGGGTCGTCTGGCAAACCTACGTCCTCCGAACGTGGTTCCACCTCTAACGCCTGTGGATACTGCGGAGGCAAATCCCACGCACGCTCAGCCTGCCCGGCACGCGAAAAAACGTGCAACAAGCGCGGGCACTACGGCGCTGTCTGCCGCTCATCCCGCCATGCCCGTGCGCTATCGGCCGAGTCTTCGCCGGGCACCGATGCCGTCGCTTCTCCCAGCTCCGTGTCTGAGGAATCTATTGATCTGGTCCCCATCTACATTGGTGCCGTATCCGCGCACCCTCCCAGCTGGCAGGTTCAGCTCACCATCAATGGCACCACCGTTCCATTCAAAGTCGACACCGGTGCCGATGTGTCCGTCATCTCCGAGGAGGTCTACAACTCCCTTAGCACATCCCCGCAGCTCCAGCCTTGCCGGCACGTTCTCATCAGTGCAGCCAACACCAACCTCGAGACATTGGGCCTCTTCTCCGCGCGGCTCGTCTTTTCCACCTCTGGTTCTTCACACACTTGCACCGTGTACGTTGCCATAGGCCTGCGCGTATGTCTCCTAGGGAGCCCTGACTGCGTCGCTCTTGGTCTAATCAAACGTTTGTTCTCCAGCGACACCGCGTCCGCTACACCACTTTCGACCGCTCCGGAGCCCAGTCAATCCACGGACGATGCGCCGGGTAGCTACTCCTCAGCTCCCGCCGGGTCAGAACCTCTGCCTCTGACGACACCTGGCGACGCTATCCCACAAGACATACGGCAGGAATTTCCGTCACTCTTCTCTGGTCTTGGGTCACTCAACGAGCCGTACAACATCGAGCTCTCACCTGATGCCAAGCCATCGTGTCTCTACGCTGCGCGAAACATCGCACTGCCGCTCCGCTCTAAAGTGGCTACCGAGCTTCAGCGCATGGAACAGCTTGGTGTAATCCGCCCTGTCGTGGAGCCCACTGACTGGTGTGCTGCAATCGTGGCCGCACCTATGTCCAACGGCACGGTACGCATCTGTGCTGATCTGAAACCTCTGAACGAAGCCGTCCGACGGTCACACCATCAGCTGCCAACAGTAGACGAAACTCTTGGCCAAATCGGCGACTCAACGGTGTTCACGAAGCTCGATGCCAACAGCGGGTTTTGGCAGATCCCGCTGGACATTCCCTCCCAGCTTCTAACCACCTTCATCACCCCCGCTGGTCGGTTTTGTTACACGAAGTTGCCGTTCGGCATTTCCTCTGCGCCTGAGATATTCCAGCAGCGCATGTCGAAGATCCTGGCTGGCCTGGAGGGTGTGGTCTGCCAAATGGACGACATCCTCGTCCATGGCCGCACTCGTGCCGAGCATGATAGTCGTCTCTACGCGGTGCTCCGACGCCTGGTGGATGCAGGGCTCACCCTCAATCCGTCGAAGTGTGAGTTCGCCGCCTCTGACCTGTCCTTCTTGGGAGTGCGGCTCACTGCTGCCGGCATTCAACCAGGTGACAGCAAGACCTCTGCTATCCAGCGCTTCCGTCAGCCTCAAACCGTCTCAGACATCCGCAGGTTCATGGGTCTGGCGAACCAACTGGGAAAGTTCTCTCCCAATCTCGCCGCCCTCAGCCAGCCACTGCGAGAGCTGTTGTCCAAAGGTCGCGCATGGACTTGGGATCAACCACAGCAGGCAGCCTTCGACAACATCAAGGCAGAGCTCTCCAAGCCAGCCTGTCTGCAGCGCTACGACCCCAACTACGACACCAAACTATCTGCCGACGCCTCGTCCTATGGCCTCGGTGCCGTGCTCTACCAGCGCCGGTCCTCAGATGTTGAGTGGCGTCCCGTCGCTTGCGCATCCCGGTCTCTCACATCGGCCGAGCGCAACTATGCCCAAATCGAAAAGGAAGCTCTCGCGATCACTTGGGCTGTTTCCCGCTTTGACACTTACCTGCTTGGCATGGCGTGCTTCCTCATCGAGACGGATCATAAGCCTCTCGTACCTCTTCTCAGCACGAAGCGCCTACACGATCTCCCAGCGAGAGTCCTGCGCTTCCGACTCCGCCTGGCACGATATCACTACCAGATCATTCACGTTCCAGGGAGCTACCTCACCAGCGCCGACGATCTCACGCGCCCCTCAAGACGACTCCCCGAGTCGGGATGACATCACCATTCAGGCTGAGTGCGACGTGTTCGCTACTATCGCAGTCGAGAATCTAGCCGATCAGACCGTCCCGACGCAGCAGGTTAGAGACGCCCAGCAACAGGACGCTACATGTCAGCAACTGCGAACCCTCATCCTCGACGGCTGGCCCGCCGCTATCCGCGATGTACCGCAGCCCCTCCGTGAGTTCTGGCCTGTCCGCTCTGACCTCGTCCTGCTCGATGGCCTGATTATGAAAGGCTCCCGGATCTATATTCCCCAGTGCTTGGTGGCCGATACTCTTCAGCGTCTTCACGCCGGTCACCAGGGCGTCACCCGTACAACCCAACACGCCACAGTGTCAGTCTGGTTTCCTGGCATCACCGCACGCATTAAGGCTCTCGTGCAAGATTGTAGCACTTGCAAGGCCTTCCGCCCGCCGCCGGTCGAGCCACTGCTCGCTCACCCCACACCGCCTCGCGCGTGGCACACCATTGGCGCGGACCTCTGCCAGCTCTACCGCGCTCAGTACCTGGTGGTGGTGGACTATTATTCCCGCTATCCAGAAATTGCGTCCCTCACTTCCACGACATCAGCACGGATCATCGACCATCTCCACTCAATCTTCGCCCGACATGGCATTCCAGCTGTCCTTCGATCGGACAACGGTCCCCAGTTCTCGTCCGCTGAGTTTGCCCGGTTTGCAACCAGGGCCGGCTTCCATCACATCACTAGTAGCCCTCACTACGCACAGTCAAACGGCGAGGTTGAGCGTGCCGTCCGCACCGTGAAGGCGTTCCTGAAGAAGTCCGCCTCAGCAGCTGACTTATATGATGCCTTGCTGGCATATCGGTCGACACCCCTCAGTTTCGCGCCGTACAGCCCGGCGGAGCTACTCATGGGTCGCCGCCTCGCAACGCCGGTTCCATCACAGTCAGCCCAGCTCCAGCCCAGCTCAGTGGACACGGATGCCTTCCGTGCAGCCGACACAGCGCAACGCCAGAAGTCCGGAGCTCAGTACGACCTGCGGCACAGAGTGACTATCCTGCCCGCTCTCCCCCCCCCCCCCCCCAGGCGCGGCCGTGATCGATGTCTCGACTCCAGGTCGCCGAGAGAGGGGTACAGTGGTAGCAAGATCAGCTGAACCCCGATCCTACATAATCCAGTTGTCATCCGGACAAGTACGACGAACCCGGCATCACCTGATCGCTATCTGACTCTCTCTCTCTCTCTCTCTCTTCCTGTCACTCTCTCACTGTGTGTTCGAGCACGTATGCACGTGCGTTTGTGTGTGCGTGTCGATATGTGTCTGTCTTTCTCTCGCTTTCTCTCTATTCCTATTGCTACTTCGAAGTAGTACCTTTACGCGGCTGAATAGTAGGCTTTGACTCCTCACGCTCTGGTTGGGCGATCCTGGATTAGGACGCTACTCTCAACCTCCTATTTCCGGGTCGCTCAATCTTAACGCATTGCAAGAGTCCTTGTTCTCTCATGTGTATTGGCCCGCCGTCTTACTCAGTATTGTTTCTACCGTTCCGCATGTTTTTCACTTTCCCATCTTTAGTTCCTCTAGTTCCCCGGAGGGGGGAGATGTAGTATGAACTCTTTTACGCACTTTACTTGCATGCATGCACGTGCCGTTGCGACACGTGTTCACGCCCGCCATGTGGTCTTTACACTCCGAGCATGCGGGCCCCTCAGGTACGCATGCGAGGAACTGATCATGCTTGTTCTGGTTTTCGTTGGTTAGGAGTTTGTTGGCACGAAATGAAGTAGAAGCCTTTTCGGTGTGTGTAGTTCTGTTGTTGTCAGACCTGGATGTTTGCTGTCCGATACACCCAAAACACTTGCAACACATTCTTTCATAACTCTCCTTCTTTATTACTTCAAAAACTGTTGTTCTGTATATGAGAGTTTGGGAGCAGCGAAAGAGCACTATTGTCAGGAGTGAATGATAGGAATTCGAATAAAACTCTGACTAAAAAAGTTGCCCGTTTCCACAGCCATAAATGATAACAGTGTTAGAAAGCATGTGTCTTTGTGCGTAACCAAGACAATTATGGTGGCCCAGAGTGCGAACGCACAAAGCAGGCGCATGCCAAAGATATCTCTCATTTTGCAGTGTCCTATTTTGAGCACTGTTCGGACAGTGAAGCACACCACTTGACTACGCTAATAATTGTTCATGAAGTTGATTGCTCCAAAGTGGAACACACGCTTCTTGCCGAACTTAGAAGGTGCGCGTGCTCCTCGTGTGCTCCGGATGGCAGTCGTGAGTCAGTCAAGTGTCAAGTTCGGCAAGAAGTGTGTGTTCCTCGTTGGAGCAATCAACTTCATGACTATTACCACCGAAGTCGCAACTTCTAAGTTTGAACAATTTTTTCGACATCACCAATAGAAGAATTTTTCATCCAGTGCATGTGCGAAGAGTGAATACCAACTAAATAGAGCGGTTGTCAGTTGACAAACCTCCTTTTATTTACAATGCAGTTGCGTGATGTCCACCACCTTCTGAATAAAGACTTTTTGATTATAAACTTACCAGCTGCAGTTGTCGTCAAGGTCATCCATATTGACGATATGAAACAAACAGACCCGCCAAGATGAGAAGAATGAGATGGTCAAACAGAAGTAAACAAAACGGTTGAAAAGGCAACACCACAGACAAGCAGAAAATCAATATTCATTGGAAGATTATTTAACTAAAGCCAAAGTGCTGTCATCTTGACCACTGTGTCATCAGAGATATCTTTCTGTCTTTGCTATGCTCGCAGGTTTCGCCTCTGCATGCGCCGCTGGGCATCGATTGCGCATGGAGTTTTGTTCTACATGTATTGTCGTTCTTGCAACGCATTCTTTCATAACTCTCCTCTTCTTTACAACTTCAAAAACTGTTGTTCTGTATGTGAGAGTTAGGGAGCAGCGGAAGAGCACTATCGTCAGGAGTGAATGATAGGAATTTGAATAAAACTTGACGACAAAAGTTGCGCTTTCTAGCAGCCATAATAGTGTTAGAAAGTATGTGCCTTTGTGTATAACCAATAAGGGTGAAACAATTATACCGAATACTCGAGTACTCGCTCGGATTTTTCAAACATAATCGTACTCGGAATAAAACAGAGTACTCGTTCATACATGGTACATGCATTTACAACAGAAATCTGCAGTTTCAGAGCAGCAGTCGGCAGATATTGATGTGCAGACTGTGTGGTGAACATTTGTTCACGAGTAGAGAGAGCCCAAATGACCCACCAACCAATATACCCGAGAAAAATGACCGCTACTCGGTTCAATCAGGGTTGTATCATGTGATTTTAAGGCCCTTGGTGTGGAATTTTTAGGAGATGAAGAATACTCGAATACTCGATTATTCGATCGGAGAAAATCAGAGTACTCGAACTCGGGATCTCAGTGCCAACTTTCACCCCTAATAACCAAGAAAACTTCCATGTTGGTACGGAGTGAGTCCGTACAAAGCAGGCGCTATCCCTCACTTTGCATTGGCCTGTTTTCTGATTACTTTGCCATTGCCAGCCACTGGCTATGTTACTGTATTGTCCCGTGGTGCACTAAACGGGTGGAGTACAAAGAGGTAATAACTAGGGCTCAAACGGTTAGTCCGATTAACCGGTTGCAGAACGGTTACGAAGAATTAACGGTTAACCGATAAAGATAACGGTTACGCAGTATCTTTTCAGTCAATTTTTCAAGTATCAGGTCGTTGCAAAGTATGCTCTTTCGCAGGCTGTCGCACGCGTACGCAATTTCTGGGCTGTCAACTCGGTCATCTCTGGCCTCTTGGTGTGAGAGTACATGTATGTATGAATGAGCATGCAAGAGAATGTACATGTGTGCGTTGTACTGAATAGGGTACTTTTTTGAATGAGTATAGTCAAATATACGGTTAAAAAAGAGTCCGCAGGATTGCCGAAACTTATAGGTTATAACCGTTAAACCGACCGTTAGCTAAGAAGTTAAAGGGGAAGTTAAGGCTAAAATCAAAATTTCACCAGTTGTAGTCTTCGGGGTGCTGAGTCGAATGGTCGTGGTCCGAGGAAGCTGAGACGCTCCCTTCCTACTTTAACCCTTTCACTGCCGCTGTCGACTGCAGTCGACAGCGCATTCATGCACTCCGAGTGCCATTGTCGACTTGCGTCGACGAGTAAACATGCAGTCCCCAGTGCTGTTGTCGACTTCCGTCGACAGGCAGACCTCACCCAGTTTGTGCCTCTATTTTCGAATATTGGAAATGTTTAGCCGTGGTAGACGGCCACTGGGCCCTGGAAGATGTCCATACCCATCGAAATACGCTTCCAGAAGTATGGGTTGCCATTTGAAAAAAATCGAACCAGCGTCGTTGAAAATGCGCATCCGATTTTTAGCCGATCGGCGAGGAAGAAACCGGTTCTCACGCACTTCCACCTCGCTGAGTCGGTGCGAGTATTTTCCTCTTTCCCGTCAACTTTCATTGCACGGAGCATGGAATTTGGTTCAGACTTGATGCCTAGCTATTACCCAAGACTCCAGGCGGCTACCCGTTGCGATAGGCGGTTGGAGTCACGGGTAGAGACAACCAGACGATAGATTCCTCGCGGACGCATTCACTGCAAACTTGACGGAAACAGCGCTGGCGGCGGTCACTGGATCCAGAACTAAAATTTTCTAAGAACTACCACGTTACAATGGCGACCAGCACGGTCAAGAGACACTACAGGTATGTCAGCTACAACATAATTATATTCTTTCTACAACGACACCTACCTCTGGCTCAATACCTGACGATCTACTGCAAGCTGATGCGAAAGTGAATTACACCCGCGAACGCCGCGCTTGTCAACGGAACAGGGAAGCGCTTCACTCTCCAAAGTTGAAAAGTATTTGGACTGCTGCTAATTGGGAGAACAAACGACCAACATGGCGGCAGAACATTCCGCAGCCGTTCACCGACACGATCCGCTTCACCAAACGACTTACGATCGTTTCGTTCTCCGAGTTTTCTGGTGGCAGCAACAAGAATTTCGTCCGCAACGACAGGACGAAAGTCTCTCGCAACTGAAGTCCTGTTGCCACGAAGATAGAGAAGATTCCGCAAGCCATCTCTTCTGCTTCCAGTGTTGTAGCTCTCCTGTCCACTGGCATATCTTTTAATCCCTGCGAACGAAAAAAAGGATCTGCTTCTCTCTCCAAAACAACAACTAACTAACTTTACTTCGCGAGTGTCCGGGCCGATCGTGTACATAGTGTGTGTAGCGCATGCGGCGCACAGCGCACTTTCGCATGACATGACACGCATTTTTTGCACAGCGGCTGGCGCTAGATCGCGCAGCACGTTTGTACTTCGGATTTTGCGATTTTTTTCGACGGCAATGGCTTCCTTTGTGAGTTGTCTACCTCTGATGTATACTTTGGAAAGCGATATTCCGTACAGAAAGTACCAAAAAATCCAGGAAAAGTAGGCCTTTCGATTTTTCGACCTGGAGGTAAAAAGTGCCTGGCAGGGAGGGGGTGTACAGCTCAGCTGACAGCCTGGCAGGGAGCGCCTTGTCACCTTCAGTGGTCAGCTGGCAGTGAAAGGGTTAATCCCAATCGAACTCGCGCACTTCCACCGAAACTGGGTGACTGCGCCCTACTAGATGGGGATTTGTATGCAAAATGTCACTAAAAGCGCCATTTCGTTCTTATAAAAGCACGGATGACCGCGATTGGCCCATATGTTGTAGTCTTTAGGACACCTAGCTTCAACACATCTCCGTAGCGCTAACCGACAGCCTTCCAACTTGGAAGGTTCAAGGTTATGAAAAGACCAAAGAGGGGAAGGCAAGCGCAACGAAAACGAGCAAAAGCCACAGTCCCAACGGAACAAAGAATGTCGATTGTTACTGGACGATGACGAGACCAGTACGATATTTGACAAAGCGGTCTAACTACAATTCGAAGCAGCAAAGCAGCACACCACCCAACTTGGGTGGGTCATAAATATCAAAGAATCGGTTAGCGCTATGGAGATGTGTTGAAGCTAGGTGTCAGGACGTCGAATGTCTCAGTACTCTTGTCAGTTTTGTGCCTAGTTATTGCACTTTCTGACTGTATATAGTATCATGTTACAGTGATGGAGAGTTACTCTTAACTCGTATCCATATGTCCTTTTCCTTTCTACATTATTATTATTATTATTATTATTATTATTATTATTATTATTATTATTATTTGAAACTTGGATGTTGAGCCATAAATAAATGTAGAAAGGAAAAAGACATTATCGTAACTCGTATCCATAATGTCTTTTTCCTTTCTACAATTATTATTTAAAGAGTCGGCGTGGAGAAAGCAATTTTATTAGTGCAATTAGGAGTATAATCGATGCAGACATGGCCAGACAACAACGAGTTCATGGAATTTTTAAGGATTTTTATGTTATTCAAAATCGATTTTCGTGTTCCGCTCATCAGTGAATAGTATCGGAACTGAGGGTACTGTGTACAACAATAGAACATTTTATAACAGCACAACCTGCACAACCTGAATTCCAGGCTGTGTATGTTTTCCTGCCTGATATTGCCTGTCTTGCTGTAT